ACTAACAGAATTTGATGCTCTGTATATATAAATATTGAAAAATAATGAAATTGAAATATTACAAATGTACTACGATTTCTTACTTTTCCGATGCCAACAAATGCTTCATCATTAATTTGCCTGGCTAAAATCCCTTGAACAGCGCCAGATTTAGCATGCTTGTAGGCTTGCAAACTTTTATATGCCTTAAGCTGTAGGCCAGTAAAATAACTATGGCTTAGAATTAAGTAATTCACCAGGTCCATCATGGTAATGTTGGGCCACTTACAGACATCAAGCCTGCATTCCTCAGGAGGAATTGCGTACGGGTCAATATTGTCAATAATTTCAAGTTTCTTATTGTATTGACACTTTGCATCACCATTAAGGGTCGAATAGTATGCACGTCGAGACATCTTTAACGAAAAACTTCCAAACTTTAACAAGAAAATGCAAGTTAACACGAAAACGCATACAAAACAAATGCGTGCCACGGAGAAAATGGCGGACCTGTCAAAGTCATATGTCCTGGAATGGTCAATTAGGCAATCCAAGCGCTGCCAGTGGGCTGTCAGGTTGACATCTGTAGAAAAACAAAGAATATTATTGGTTATTGAAATTAATGTTGATGTTCATAGCCAATAAATAATATTCTTTGTTTTCGTACAGACAACTCTTTGTTTTATTAAAGGTTAGGGTGTCGATATGAAATTTAGTTTTTAGTGTAACAAATTTGAGTTAAACTAAAACTTTTGTTTTTAACGCATGCAGTTTTTGCAATATTGTAGCGATTTGGATTCTGTAATATGGATTCTTCTCAAAAGACATTAAACACTTAATTAACTTAATGTTACTTGCGATTGTTATGACCTTGCTTGAAAAAATCGTGATAAAAACATCCTCCAAGTCAAAACCCTCGCAAACCCTAGTTCCGAAATTAATTATAATTTGTTAATTAATTAAAGTCTGATGATGTACAGGGTGTTATTTATATTGTATATTTATGTCCTGGGACAACAAAAAATTCATTTATTCTTTCTATATCAATAGTCTATTCTAGTCTTAGAAATTGTTATAGAAATTAATGCTGGTTTTATGAATTATTAAAAATGGTTTCATTAATTATTAAAAAAATGTTTTTGTTATCCATGGACATGCAATAAAGCGATTTTTTGGGCAAATACAGAAAAACTCTTACGAGTCAATTATACCTTGCCCCCAAAATTTGATTCGCCTTTTATGTGAGATCACTAGGAAATAATATGCGGGATTCGAACCCCTTGGCATTTGCGACTCAAGTAGCCAAGCTCAATCGCATTTGACTACTTAAGCTCTTTTCACGAACTTAAATAAAAACAACAAAATTATCATTCACTAATTTCGAACATTCTGCTTCAGATAACCTCAAAAAAGTTACCAAACACTGCCGCCTCTCAATTTAGAACTAGAAATCCCAATAAATAGGGAAACGAACCAGAAAATGAAAAAATAAAAAGAAAGAGATGGAATAAAAAAAACCTGTCCATTAACGTTCTACCTTGCTCTCGTATTTTCACAACGAACAATGTCATCATCCCACCTGAAAGTTACGACACTGACAGCGGGCGGGTTCGCCGGTTGAGGAGGCGTCGAAGTGCCCATTGAGTTGTTGCCCTCTACCCGACCATTGGACGTACCAATTTGTACCCCGATCGGAGTGCGAGGTCTATACGTGTGAACTATCTTGATATTGTCGCGGAACTTTAGCAACTGCTGGTGGACTTCGTCGTAGGTCGATGCGTCAACTATGAACACGTCCACCATCTCGTCGGTCAACAATTGGCAAGAATATCCAATGTTGATGGCAGTTTCTGGAATGCAAAGAAATATTTACGAACTTTAAAACTCACTAAAGCCAACTTTCCTGAAGGCAAGCCGACTTGAGTCGACAACTGACAGATAAAGAAAATAAAAAGTCAATTCACACATTCCGTATATTACAAACTATGTCCTTACCCTGTTTATCACCCGTTAGTACCCATATCTTAATTCCGGCAAGGATAAGGTTGGCAATCGTCTGAGCTACACCGTCTTGTAACTTATCTTCAATGGCCGTAACACCTATAAGTTCCATATTAGTTTCAATCTCTTCGTAGATGGCATCTAATCTCTCCTCTCTACCTTCCAGTGCTATCGCTGCCTCTTGGTGCCTCTGCTTCCAATCATTAAAAAATTCCTCGTCTATATCACGTTGCGCTAAACACAGTGTTCGCAAGCCTTCACCAGCAAATTTCTTAAAAAAAATATTCATTATTGCTATTAAGAGCAATCACCTTTGAAAACAAGAAAATAAGTAAAAAATATATATACAGGGTGTTATTTAAGTACGTGGCCAAAATTTAAAGTGTAATTCCTTAAGTGATTTCTAAAACAAAAAGTTTATGTAACCTAGGTCCGGTAATGCTTCGTTTTTAAGATACAAGGTGTCACTTTTTTTTAAAAAAAATTCAATATTAAAAAAAGTTGTATTTTTAATTGCTTCATGCGAAAAAAAATTATAAAAATATTAAAGAAGTCAGCGATGCACATTTCTTTGTCAAAAATAGGTTAAGGTGACCCCCGGGACGCCACTGGACTTAATAATTTTAAAATTTTAATCTACTGCGGGCTAAATTAGTTCCTTTCTACCATTAATAACACTGCCAAATTTCAACAAAATCGGCTAAAAGATCAAGATTTTTACAAAAAAAAACGATCTTTTAAAAAAAGTTTGACACTCTATCTTGAAAACGAAGCATTACCAGACCCATGTTTATATAAACTTTTCATCTTAAAATCACTCAAGGAATTACCCTTTGAAGTTTGGCTACGTACTCAAAAAACACCCTGTATAATCTGTAATCTTATATAACTGTTCAAACCCCTGTTACTTACATTTAAGTGTTCCTGCGTTTTAACCTTTAACTCGTCCTGCCCACTTCTCAGCCTTTCATATATAACATTATCAGCCCCTTTGCAATACAACCTCAAATTACCATCCTTCCTTAATATTACGGACATTCTTTTTCTCACATTGTTAAAATCCAAGATGCAAAGCAGCTCATACACCTCTTTGACGCCCATAACTTCTATTGTAATACTGTTAGGTGACCTCTCTTTAAAAACAAAGCCAAAGTTCCTCGCGGCAGATACCAAAGCCGCTTCGTCGGGCGATTGCGCCTGATACTCCAGTCTACCGTCTTTATCTTCCGACATGACAGTGTGGCACAGAGCTAACAGACGAAAAAAACTAAAGGCAGCAGGTTCTCGCTGCATGACGGCATCTAATAAGTTCTTGTCATAAAATTTGAACTCTGGTTCAAAGTTGGGATTAAACGAGAAGTCTAAAGGCTCGGAGTGTTCAGTTATCTCAACTACATCGCCAGTCCTGGAGTCGATAACATCTCCATATGATCGACAAGCTATTGAACACTTGTTGAATGTCATAATGTTTTGGGTAAGCGTACCGGTTTTGTCCGAGAATATATACTCTATTTGGCCTGAAAAAATTAATTTCAATCAGAAAACCCACCCCTCGAGCGGCACCCTCCCAAGGTCGCAAACTGAATTTTTATTTACCTAATTCCTCGTTAAGTGTAGTAGTCCTGGCCTTGGCATGAGTACCAGTCTTGACATAGACCATCTGTTCGTCCCAGTTAATCAGGAAACTCTGTACGAATCGTATCACTTCAACGGAGACATACAGCGAAATCGGCACTACCGTGTTGAGTACGATAGCATATGAGAAGAACACCAACAGAGCTATGATGGTGGCACCGCCCCAACGGTTCCAAAGGCACCAGCGTGTCCCATGGCAGGAATGTCTGGAAATACTGTCCAACCAAGGACTCCCAAATACCACAGGCCACCATGCAGAAAAGGCACATGGACAATAAAAAAAATACTATCTGCAAGCAATATAGATAACTGAGTTAGGACACATTTAGAACAAAAAAAAAATACACGAAATATTGAAAAAAAATAAATATAAAAAAAATTGGCTTTTACAAAAAAAAAGAGTCATGAACAGTTATTGCGTTAAAACGGTTTCTATTGTTTCATCCATTTGTTGGTCATCGTTCGTCGTTCTTCAAGCAGATGTGGCGGTCAAGACAAATTTTAAATATTTTTTAGGTTTTTAATGTTTAAGAAATTGTAATGCAACACAGTTCCCATGGCATCTTGTTGATGGTTCAGTTTCAATTGATTTCAAATAATTTTTAAAGTTTTGAGTGTTGAAAATGGCTGTATATATAGCCGAAACATGTCCGTGTTGACTATATTAATAATTTTTAAGACTGATGGTAACCACTGGCCATTCATGGTTTCTATTCTGTTAATAAAGAATTTAATTTGCAAGAGTTGGTTTCAAGATTTAACTCCCTTGTTAAAAAATAACATTGATTTTCAAGAAAAAATTTAAATTTTTGTTAAAAAACAATTGAACATCGCTTTATATAGATATCATTGCACCTTGGCGTTATGGCCTCTCAGTCAGCATTTTACAAGAGCAACTTTTTTTACAAAACTAACCGTGGATTTTCAAAATCTAATCAGAATTGCGAAAACAATTGGTGAAGATACTTCTTTTCTTACAAATAAGTCGACGTGACCCCACCGCACGCCACTGGCGCGCCTCAGCTTAATCCTGAACCATAGCAAAGATGGACCCTCAAAACCCAACTATGTGTACCGAGTTTAGTTTCGATATCTTTAATATCGCGGGAAGTTGTTAAAGAAAAACAAAAAATAAAGTGTAGGAGAATTAAAAAGCTTCGACGCCCGGGCTTGAACCCGGACCTTTGGTTTTCCGGGCCAATGCTCTCCAACTAGCTACCGCGCGTCACACCTTAATTCTATAGAAACCGTTCTTACATAATTTACACAGCTGCCATCCTGACACACAGCGTCCTCGGCTGCCGGCCATAATCCGACACCTCGGTAAACTAAGTGGACTGTCTTCAGCGGATTCACCACCCACCAAGCTGTAGGAGAATTAAAAATGCTTCGACCGGGGCATTGAACCCGGGACCTTTGGTTTTCCGGGCCAATGACTCTTCCAACTGAGCTACCGCGCGTCCACACCTTAATTCTCCTATTCGGGGTACCGTTCTTTACATAATTTACTACAAAAGTGAATTTTGAACACCCCGTATCTCCGTTAGGAGGGCCGATAGAGAAAAAGTGATAGAAGGGGTATGTCATGATTTCGGTGAACTTTCTGTACCCGAAGTTTGTCGGTTTAAAACCGGAACACCCTGTATATTATTATATTGATGCAATTAGAAAACAACGGATAACAACAAAAAACTATTATATAGAGGACGGTTCAAGTTGCAACTATATATCTGTAAAACTATGTTCAATTGCATTTTTTTGGCAATAGAATTGAATTCCTTGTTAAAAATTAGGAAAAAGAGCAATTTGGTACAAGATATTATTTTCTGGTTTAGTTTACGTTTGAGAAGGAAGTTAACCTATATTTTGTACTTTGCATTTGCAAATTTTGTTTTTGCTTTGAGTTTGGTGATTGTCAACCTGTTTACATATACATAATAAAAAAAAATAAGAAATTCGACGATTTTCATTTTTAAACATAGCTTATTATTATACTCCGATATAAAGATTATTATACAGAACATATAGGTACATTTTCTTATATTTCTGTAAAAAAAATTAAGTTATCTGTAGCACCTAAGAAATCGCAGTTTATTAAAAGAGATATCTAACACAATAACTAACATAGTGGATCAAATTTATTTTTAAAGGCAAGGAACAAAAAATTAATTGACGAATTTTTTTTTTATAAAAATAGGTAACAAAAGAAAAGTGAACCATGCGAGATTCGAACCGCACACTTTTATATTGTCCAGTAGTGTTCATAAACACTCCGCTAAACCAGCAGTTGACAAGCTTTGTCTATCCTAGAACCACCTGACAAATGACATGAATGCACATGCTGCGACCGTCGTAGGTTTAGTACATTGTTATATTATCTTCAACTTACAACCCACTACCTAAAATAAATCATTTATTTTTAAGAATGCAGGCAATTTGTTGTGTATTCTAGGAGTAAACCTATTTGGCGACAAAATGTTAGTTATTTCTAAATTTTCAAATAATTATTAGTCGATATACCCGAAAAGGTACTTGGTATTAGCATTATTATGACATCACTTTTATGTTGGGTAATGTTTCTAATGGACAACTACATTGCATGAGACGAAATCTAATATACATAAAAAAATTTTATCAAAAATGGCTAAAAAAATTACTTACCCCTATAATTAAAAAATTTAGGAGCCTATCTATACTAGTGCGCTTAAACTTGCTCTTCCCGCTGTTCTGCATTAGTTTTGTGTCTTTGCCAGCAAAGATCACCACGCCATAACACCATTGCGTGTTGCGCAGTACACAGCCCCCTCAGCATGATCTTGTCGTTGTCCAGCGAGAAAGTCTTGCCTTTCCATATTAGCACGCCTTCGAACTTGTTCAGCAGGTTGTTGGGCATTTCACAGATTATTTCGCCGTCAAATTCACTGAGCAGGACGTCGTCCTGGCCCATTTGCGCCGTTTCGGGCAGACACTGGCGACATTTTAGGTTTGTCTCCCTGTAACAAGACCCTTAATTTAATACAAAATTATATAGGTAAAAAACGAGTTTGAAAATTTGTTTAAAATTAACTAAAAAATTTTTTTTAATATACTTCGAAAATGTTTCTTGATTGCCTAATGATGAGTACATAGTGTATTCTTAGTACTTACCCATCCAATTCCGAGGTTTCAATGTAGCACAAGCCGTTCGGCTCGCTAGAGGTAAGAATCAGCACATCGGCCGCTATGAAGGAATTATTGTCCATTCGAACGATATCGCCAACTTGGACGGCTGACCATTTCTCATTGACGAGCTTGCCCTTACGAACCACCCTAGACTTCCTATTGTTGACTTGGGAGTCGGAAATGTGACGTTGCTAAATTAATATAAAATCTAGGTGAATATTTAGTTGACATTGTTGTAATAACATTTTATCAAGACACCTTTTGTAAAAATTAAATTTGTACATATATATTCTTTGTAGATAAATGCATATTTCTGATAGGCAGGTACTTTTGACAAATCAGAATATACATATTGATTATTTTTTAGAATAAAAAAAAACAACTTTTTGAGTTAAAAGTGAAAACCAACTACAAATTGTGTATATTTTTATCCAGAAATGCGTCACAAGTAAATCTTGAATTTTTGCTAAGAGAAGGCGACAGTGTTGTTTTGTTTAGTGATTTAAGTATAGGGAAGAGCAAAACATTGATACACCACCATGCAAATATTTTTATAAACATAGAAAAAGCATTAATTTAAGATTTAATGAACATTTCATTTAAAATTATGTTCCTGTTTTAACGAATTTTACGTGTTGTGAATTGTTATTGTGGCCATTTTCAAGATGAATTCCATCATCGAAATAGAATACATTTACTTCCAAAATAAAGGTTATCCAGGGTAGAAAAAAAAAATCTGTTGTGGCACCACAATACTTTCCCGGTAAGTATCCAGAGATACACGAAAGTTTTTATTGAAGGCGTCCATTCGATATTATTAAGAAAAGTATTTGTATATAGTGAGATCTATTGGGTGTTAAATAATTGGAAGTTATTTTTTAAGCCAGCCTGTATATAGAATATGTATGATATACATATATATCTTCTTGGAATACTATCAGTTTTTTTAAATTAAAGAATTTTAGTTATTAATCTTATAAATATGTTTTATTTTATAATAATTGTATTATTTTATTACTATAATTAATATTTGTTATACACTGTATCTTAGGCTCATCACATCACATTTTGAAGGTTTCCACGAAAATAAATTTATTTTAAAAAATGACATGCCCATTATAATTTCATTATTTTTAGAATATAGATATTTACAAAAACAATTATTTCCAAATAAAATTTCCTTATCAAACTTTTTATTCAATGTTGACCACACAATATTAACTATATCAAAACAAAATATAAGTAAATGTAATTGTTTTTTTTTTTAAATTATGCAATTCTATACCAAGGTAATTTTTTCAATTACAACTCTATTCCGTTTTTTTAATCTTAATAGTAATGAATGGTGTAAACTGCTTTTCTTTATTACCAAGGGATCCTGCTAACTATAGTGAGTCATACCAGTTTAACTTTTATTATCTCAACAACTGAGTCATATTTCATGCTAGTTTGTTTTGTAAATGTAATATAACAAACAAGTTTTTTTAGATATTCCTTAAATTTATTTTTGCATTTCTTAGTTTTAACATTAAAAATATTTACATGAAAGGCATATCTTAGGCAATATGAAAATACCTGCTATGTGGTATCATCATATTCAAAAATGTTATTTAGTTAGTTCAAATAATTTCGCATAAACTTTAGTAGTAATAAACCTTATTTAAACATTTCCAAATATGGTAATAATAAACTTATGAGATACTCAAAATGAGATATTCAAAACCATGACTTGAAGGTTAGAAAACAAAAAAAATAATCCATTAATTTCTTTAGTACAGATGATCATGTAAGTAAGGACTGGTGTATTAACTTCGCTGTTTCCTGAATGAATAGCAGTAAACCAAATTCCTTTTTGCAGCAGGCCGGTGATGATGGCCTCTTGTTGCATATTGCTGATGGGATAGAGCGACACATACACATTTCTATTCCAAAATCACATTTTAGTGACCTGTTTTACCATCCTGAATTTGAATTGAATAAGACACAGTAAACACAGTTTTTTAAAATTACAACAGCTTTAAACAATAAATGTAGCAGAATGAACGCTCAGTTAAAGCTGCACAAGGAATTTTATAACATTTGATGATTTGACAGATTTGCAAACTACTTTGCCTATTAAAACCCCCGTATAAGATTCACCCGGTATATTATGCATTTAGTAAAACTTTTCTTGAAATCATGAAAGTAAACATTAACAATGCTTATTAATAATTTTTCCCTAGTAAATTTAAAAATTAAACTGAGCAGCTTTTGATTGTAAGAGTAATGTATTTGTTTTGTCAAATTTTATACATATGAATTTCTAGGGTTAACACTAATAACCCTTCCGCTGTTAAACAAATATTTCGTGCCAGTTATTGATTTTTTCCAAAATTACAAAATTTTTGTAATTTTTCAGATGTATTAATGAAAAAAATTTGCAGTAAATACTTTTTATACTTACGATGTCATCGTACGCATCCTTGATGGCAGTGAGACCCAATACGCCAATGAGGGGCAAAGCTGTCGTGACAGGCGTGAGACTGCTGATAGCCGGTATCAGTTGCAACACAAGAAGGCACAAAAAATAGAAGTTGGCTAGGCGCTGGAACTGCTCAAACAGATTCAGGGGCAGGAACGTCAGTATCGAATACTTTGATGTCTTTATATAGTTACTCTAAAAATAAAATGTATCAAAATTAGGTTTTGAATATTATACTATAATACCCCTGACATGATTGAAAGGTATATTCAGGTTACAAGTTAAAGCATTTTTAATATATCTGTGATTAAGGGGGTTTATTTAGATTGTCACTTGGAAAGCATAATATTTCTATAATAAAATTATAGGTACCTACACTAATACTTACAGCGTAACGAAACTGAGAATTAAACACTTTATCATTTGCATGAATCCTTCTCTGGTTATCTGTAACAAAACAAAAAATGTAAATCTTAAACATAAAAATTTACATACAAAATATTATAATATTCTAGTATTTGATATAAATATATTGATTGGCTGCTTAAACAAAATATCGACATATTTATTAAGAAACTTAAATACCGATGTATTTATTAAGACATTAAATGCATTAATGATTCTGATGTTAATTACCTAAACATAAAAAGTGTCTCAAACTTATAGATCTAGCCAAGGACCTGATTCGGTAAGCCAAGGGACCACTAGCTAAGTCAGTTTGGGACATTTACTTTCCAAACTGGCCATAAGCTCGTAAATAAGACGATTTTTTTCATTGTAAATATTTTTCAGGCAATGCCAATGTCAGACTTGTAATTTTATGTCATTAATAAT